AAAACTAAGCGCAATGTAGGTTTTTTAATTACCATCCCACATGTTAGTGAATAGCTTACATCTTGTTTCATTTTTAAATGTTGCATTATAATTGCTACACAGACTGATTTTTGTATCTTTTAGACCTACTCTATTTGGGCTAGTAGCTGTAAAAACAAGACAGAGTGCAATGAACTACATCCTTCTGTTTCTGTGTTGCAGGTAATTATCCTTTTTCTTACTGGGATAGAATCCTATCTGTTCTTGTTTCAGCTTTTTTAAAAATTGTTTTTAAATATATTTTTGCCTTAGTGTGGAATGTTAGATGATGATCTTCATTCTCATGTCTGAAAGTGAAAAAGAATTGAACTACAGTGCTTGCTGATTTTCATTGTCTTTAAGCACTGAAATCACATACTGTAATTAGGCTTCTGATTAACCTTGATGTCCCTACTGTACATTTCATATGGATATTTCATATCCAAACCCAACTTTTGACTAGTTGCATGGCAGAGGAAAAAGAAGAGAGCTGAAGGGGAGCATGAGTGATCGGGAGGTATTAGTGGAGGAAGCAACTTATGGGGTCCTGTAGCCACTTTGAGACACAGTAGAGGAGGGCCACAGAGGCATGCATGTGGTTTTCTTAAATTTAGATTTGCCTGTTACTGTGTCTTCTGCCATGCTGTATCTCAGGTGTCTGATTCTATTTGTCCTCTGTTTCCTTTTGTTGTTTTTTAACAGCTTGTCGTGCTCTCTGGAGGGGCAGCATGTGTGGCTTAATTTTTCTAATATTAATTTGTTCATCTTGACACCTTCTCTTTAAAAATTGAGGTTTAACTTAGATTTATGGCCACCTTCATTTTAGACTGGCATGATATAGCATGTTTTGTGACTACCTTGTAGGTGTTTAGTAATATCTATTGATGTCGAGGTTGTGATTCTACTGAAGCTGTAAACATGACCTGCTATGCTATAAGAATGCATGCAAGAGATTTGCAATTTCAAGACCTACCTTATTAAGTATAAACTGCATGGATTTTTTTTGTTTATGTATTTATTAGGTTTGAAAGAAAATTTAACTTCTATTTTTATGATGCATTTTAATTTAGGCAGTGAAAATGAATAAAATGGTTTTCGTCTGTGTGATCTGCTTGTCACCCACAGTCACTTTTTTTTCTTTTTTTTTTTTTAAAGATTTTAGCTTTCATCCTCATCAGGAACATTCCTGGATATGTCCGATCTGTGTATAGCTCATTCTTTGCCTGGTTTGGCAAAATCTCTCTAGAGGTATGTAGGATGGTCAGAAGTACAAATGGTTTTATTATCTGAACTGTAGTATAGCACATAAATAGTGAAAACATTTATTGGTTCATTTAATACCATGCTGTTGTGTTTGACCTCTTTTAGCATTGTAGCTTCCATCTGCACTTAAAAATCATAGCTGAAAATTCAGTCTTACAGTAGCAAGCTTATTTCTTACACTGTTTTTGGTGGGCAGTTTAGCGTTGTGGTAGTGGGGATTGAGTGCGGGAGTGAGCTGCGGTGCGTATGCAGTCGGAAGATAAAAATTTAAGCCAGCTGAAGAATCAGCATGGATTATACGGCCTAGGATAAGTACACTTGTAAACGTGTTTGCCCTAGAAAGCTTTCCCGCAGTAATAAACAAATGTTACTTTACAAACAAAACCCTTCTCAGTGCAAATGTTGTCTTGTTCCATTGACTGTATGTTTTGAAACAGTAGGAATTGTCTTGCTTTCCATTTCATTTGCCGTTTAGTAATATTAAATGTTTCATTTTATTGTATAACAAAAATAGATTTTTAGAAGGGAAAGGAACTTATAGGAGAAACTTACTGTAATGCAGTGTATATGTAGTACATGATTTTGAACTTTTTTTTAAAGGATCACATTTCACCGTTCTGATTCCCGGTGAACTTTACGGTGCTGATCAACTCCAGGGACCTTTGCATTCATCAGCAGCTGAAGCATTATCTTTTCTTTGCAGGCATGTTTAGTTCAGTCCCTCACCAGAGAGACAGTAGCTGACCGGAGGCACATTCCTCGTCTGTTCTGACACTAAACGATGCGCCCCGATGCCGTCTGGTGAAGGGCTGAGCAAACCCCTTGTCCTGTGCACTGTAACAGACTAGTACTTTTGTCGTACAGCAAAGGCATGTGGAAAGCAGTTCCTCAGAGTATCTTATTTAATCATAAATGTCTGACTTAAGCAGAAGTACAGTGTGTCAGCTGATGCAATAGTAGTAATTGTATGTTTTTATGTATGTAAAAATATTTGTATAAAAGTATTGTTAAGCACACTCTCTTTTCTTTTAGCTCTTCATTTGCCAATACCATATTTGGCTGGCAGCAGACACAAAGGGCATCCTGGTGCTCATTCCTGGATATCCCATGTTTAATGTTCTTGTCAGCACTTTTATATTTGTGTGTGTGGCACATGAAATTTCTCAGATCACTAATGATCTAGCGCAGATCGTGGTTCCTAAAGACAACTCAACTCTGCTAAAAAGGTTGATATGCATAGCTGGATTTTTTTCTGGACTACTCCTCTTCTCAGCAATGCAAGATCAGTCAAGGCATTAACCAGAAAAGATTCCTGGAAACTTTATTCAGGCTTACTTTGTGTCTGCCTGAACAAAACTTCTCAGCTGGAGGTACAGGAAGACATTAAAACAAAGCGTGTGGAAAATGTATATAGTGCAAATGTACATATTTTGCGTGGAAATGGCCGCCTCAAGAGAATCTGAGACAGAAGAATGCACTGTACAGAATTGCATGTGAAAACGAGTCTTTTCTACTGGATATATGTTTCTGTTTACAGATCTGTTTAAACGTGACACAAAGTGAAGTTAAATGGTTTAGCAATATCATGTGCATATCATGGAATTAACTTTCCCTTGGCTCAGCCGAGGAGTGGATGTCACTAGAGTACCGCCTGTACGTAACACACGCTGTAGTTGTTCTCATCAAGGAACGAAAAAGAGCAAAGTGGTGATCCTGTGATAATGGTCACCTTCAGCTGATGTGAAACATGAAGTTACTGGTAAACCAGGGCATTTTTCTGAACAAAATGGTAACTTTTTTGTTTAGAAGTGAGTATTTTGGGTGGAGATAGTATATGTTACATGAAACCCTTTATATGTGGAAATAAAAGGTCATCACCAATTCAGTGATTTAAGATTATATACAAGTTTACATAATGTTTTATGGGGTTTTTTTTAGAAACGTAAGATGTTTTCAGCAAATACAGTGAATTCTGAGGTGAATTTTTTTTATAAAGAAAATTAGGGTTTTTTTCCCCAAAATTGTTTGCTTTTTCATAAGTTTTCCACTAATTTATTTAACTATGTGCAGTTCTCTGTACGATCCCAGTGAACAAACATATGAGTAACTTTCAGAGTCTCAGCTCAAGGTGGGGAATTTTGGAAGACCTCCAACCTTCTCCAGTCAGATGAAATCCCATCGCATCCACTTCATCAGTCTTAAGGCAATGGGTGAATGGGAGAACAGTGATCTTCGAACCTCTCTCTGAGTTTGTAGGTGACCTTGAACTAGGTCTCATTCGGGAACTGGTGCCATATTTAACGCTGTAATAATATTTTCATTTAAAAGGATGTGAGTCAAGGATGCAAGTCTGTCTGTTGATATCAGAAGGAAGAGGGATTGAGTGGTCATCTTGTTGCAGAATTACAAATGAAATGAGATTGAAGCTGTTTGGAGGAACCTTTTTTCCGAGCCTTTTTAGCAGCGCCCATCTTTCTCATTAACTCTTCCCTTTAGCATAAAGTAAAATTGAAAGCAATTCAATTTAGTGTGGCAGTGACAAGCTGCAATTTACTTTCCACTTACTAGCGAAGTTATGGTCATTTCTTTACTGTTTGTGGTTTGGGTTCAAGTGATAGTTTGTCCTCTAGCTGCTTTTTCATTTTATTCTTCTACTGATTACTTGTTAGCACTCAAAACCACAAGCACAATACTGTTTTCCAAGCAATTATGTATGAGTATAAACAATAGGAATCCTAATTTCTACCGTATATACTGTCACGTACATGTTTTTGATCTTATCCCAGTTAAAAAGTTCATTTCAAACTTGCAGGTAGCAATGAGTGCAAAAAAAATTGTAAAAAGAATGGTTTTTTTTGTTTTGTTTTGATTTTTTTTTGGGTGGAGGATAGTTTCTTTTAAAGAATGACCAGTCATTCATCATAAAAAAAGAAAAAATAAATCATTCACTTCCCCCAAATTCAGCAGTTTTGAAGCTGTTTTGAAGCTATTGGAAAGATACTCTGCTATGTGTCCTTTGTGTGTGTTACTTCCAATATTTGGAAGGTTATCCTCCCTGATTAGTACATGTGAATGGCTGAAAGAAATGGTATAGGTGAAGAGTGTAGTGGGGAAGAGGATGCATAACCTTCATCTATGCCAGTATTAGGAGCAATGGGGAACTGTGAGTTTGAGGGATGCTTTTTCTTTTGTTCTTCACAACTTAAGTATTGTAGATATAACTTTATTTATCTGTTGTACAGACTTGGTTGAAAGATTTATTTTTAATGTTTGAAATAATGCACTTGTTTACTGTATGTGGGATAAATATATTTTCAGGTTATGTAAAAATATGATGTAATTTAAACATTAAATAAATGTGCTGTGGATGCTTATTTTTGTAATGGGAGCAGCATCAATTAAGTAAAATTTTTTTATTGCTTGATTCTAGCTGGGCTACAGTTCACTATTAGGCCTACCTTCAATTACAAAGCAGTAGTGTAGTTTCTCCAAAGTGATATTCTGGCTACTGTTAGTTCAAATTAAGGGCAGATACTCATTTGTATTACAAAATATTTCAGATGCAATGCAAGAAGATTCTTCTGCAGTAAATCGCCCTGTCCCAAGTCGGATCAAATCGCAACTCCAGTGGCCAAAACCACCCCTGGACCTCGAGGGGCTTCAGAGAACTCTGCAGCAAAGGTGTCAAATACTTTTTCCCCCTCAGTTACAAGGTAGAAACTCTGCGGGCAGAGCTCTGCATAAAAGCAGAGGAACTGACTTGGCTTTCCTTCTGTCTGGCAACATCAAGAAAACCATCCTTAAGATTTGTTTGGGTTAAGGAATTTAGCTGTTAATTTAGCTACTTAAGTCCCACACTACATGGAAGGGGGAAGGAGTCCTTAAGCAGACGATTTGGAGTGGTAGTTGCTATCCCCAAAGCTCCGTATAATCAGGGAGATTATATCTAAGGTGGGCACCTGAACTAGGCGGTGCGAATACTCTGTCCCCTCCGGTTACGCCACCTGTTTGGGCATCTCCTCCAGTTAAACAGAAACCCTGCACCATCAGCTCCACTTCAGTTTTTAGACACTTGCCATCCAGTATCACAGTCCATAATGTTAACAACTAACACAAAGTTGTTCAGCCATCATTATGTAAAATAACCAGGCAACAACATCACTGCTTAATGTTCTCCTATTTATTTGATTTTACATTTCATATATTTACAAAGACGTCTGTACTGCTTTCTATTTAATTTGGTTGCAACTGTCACTTAATCAATACAATATCAGTTCATACTGTCATTGTACATCATTAAAAGAGGCTGTGGATTTACTGTTTTAACTATCAGCACTTTTAACTGTTACTAATTCTTTAACCATTAGGTGTCTTTAGCCAGCTTTATAAATCTATGCTTCCATAGGAATTATTTTAATACGTAAAAATAAATAATTTGTTATTAAACTTACCTCGAATGAAGCTTGCAATCATAAATTAGTTCAGTTGTGCTTAATACTCAAGTCACCTTCATCATTAGATTCTTTTCAGAATAGGGGGAGCGCCCACTGGTACAAACTGAATAGTTACGCATGTACATAACAGTTTTAAGAAATTTCCTTCAATATATCGGCACTGTTGCGTATTAGTACAAACAAGATGGGAGCAGCTCAAGTGGTAGTTAATTGATTGTCATGCCATCCTCAAGTTATCAGAAACTGTTATGATCCAAAACCAATACTATTTACAAAGTTTAGTCTTACGTTGCATTAAAAATCATTATTTAAAATCCACTCCATTCATTTCTGTTTCAAGCACTGAAAGCTCGTAGTAGAAACTAAATTCTGATTGTACTTGATTTTTTCACAGCTTGGATTAGACGTAAAATTTTACTTTAGTGTAAAAGTTAGTGTGCAGTTTTCTAATTCACTATTCACCGATACCCATCCAAGCTACTGGAAAAAAAGGAGGGGTCTTGTAGGAGGCTGATTGACTGATTAAATATCTTCCTTGGTACCTTTTGGATGAGGTAGGTGTGATGCATGGCTCTAGGAATGACTCGCTATTCCAACTGTTTCAGAAACTGACTTAGTGTTTCAAATTACGTGACTGTAGCTTGAGCTCCTTCTCATCGTACAATAATCCCTGGCACTATTCCTATGGCTCCATGCATTTGTTAACGTATTCTGCTTAGCACTTGAGGCAGCCTTGCAAACTTTTGACAGTTAAGGCTTGACAATGTACAAGTATGTACAACGTACTAAGCACAGACTGTAAACTTCGCTGCAATAGTTGTCATACTTGTTGCATAAAATGTGTCTAAAAAAGCAGCTCAGGACTTGTTTTACTCTCTGCCGAGGTGCTGCATTCAGGTCCAAGCCTATAAACATATCATTGTTTGCTCAAAAATGAACATGAAATAAGGTTTTGTGTTTTGAAGGAACAGGGTCATAACTGTAAAAAGAGGAAAAAAAAAAGGCAGTGATTACTTTGGTCTCTACAAACTCTTACTAACCTTAATTTATGGTTTCTTTTTAGTCTCAGTCTTAAATTCCTAAATTACTCAGAATTTCTCTTAGCAGAGACCTCAGCTAAGGAAATATAGCCAGCATTTGGCAATTTTAAAGCAGATGCAGCTTCCTGCTTACAGTGCAATGTCCTGGTGAACATACAGCTTCTGAAAGAGAAAATATTTCAGAAAAAACACAAAGCATAAGTGTCAGCTTAAAACAGTATGATGCTTTGAAGGAAAAATCCAAGAACTGTTGGTGTGAGCTGTTACAGCTAGAGACCCTGAAGTCCTGTGTTAGCTGTATTTGAGGATTTAAAGAAGCATCAGAAAAAAAACATTTAACTATGCAAAACAGTGTCAGGAGACAAATTGTCACCATCTATAGAAAAATAAGGAAACCTCAATTCAGATCCTTTTAACAAAGTCCTATTATTTAAGCTTTCAGCTGCATAGACAAACACCTCTCAAAGTAACCACCTTCCAGGAAAGTATGTATTTAATCAACTCCTTTTTAAGATGCTAAAAACCAATCCTTGGTTTATTGGATAGCTAGTTCTCCCACACCAAATTTGCTCCAAAAAGAACAAAGAATGTGGAAGATACAAAAAAAAAACCACATTGGGGCATTAGAAATATCACCAAAAAAAGAAAAAGTTAAAAGTTAGTCCATGCAAAGCATAACAAAATTTACCCTTGTTCACTTGCAGACATTAATTTCTGCCTCCAGTAGTTTGTAACAGTTTCTTCTAACATAAACAGATGAATGAATGGACAGATTTTAAACGTTTTATTGCTTAAAAATTGTCAAATAGGTTAAATATCTGGTAAAGGAACAGAAATCCAATTTTCAACTAGTTTTAGGTTTTTGGTGTGTTTTTTTTTTCTCCAAAAATAACTTTGCTCATTACATTTTTATAATCTCTAAAAAATTAATAAATCTGGAATACTATTTCTGAGCCTTATCATATTGCATAAGTTTTCATGCTTATACACTACTGCTTTCCGTATGCAAATGTAAGGCAATTATATCATCTCACTGAACAGAGTCTAAAATCCTTTGAACCTGGTGCTTACTTTGAAGTTTTGATTTCCCTGTTAAAACTTTCAGGAGAGATCACAAGACAGAATAAAGTTTGATATTTATTAATACGTATATTTGAAAGATTACTTTCTGAATGTAACAAATATAAAAAGTTATCAGTGTTTACAAATTGTCAAAAATGTCCAAAGTACAAAAGGATACAGTACATTAGTTATATGGAAGTGATTGTATTCTCTGGCACTGGAATCATCGTAATACTGTGGGCATGCACAATATACACCAGAAAAACTCATGCATCAATCAGAACAAATAAAAGAATAAGACAACTTGCTGCTTTCTCTGATTACAGATTCATTGCTTCTGTTAGTTTTCTTTCCTCAGGAATACCATTTACCTGCAAATGAATGAGAATTTATACAGTCTGTCAGTGGCAGATGATGCTTCAACAATATTGAACTGTTAACTGGCAGCACAGCACATAAATAGTATTTATTAGTCCTGTATCAACAGCCGCATTGGAGAAACACGACCAGTACAACCTGGACCAAAACACGACGTACATGGGAAAAAGCTTTCCTTGCTTGCTTCCGGGAAAGGAGAGATCTAAGAAAAGACTGTTTAACTGGGAATTTCCCTCCCTACTTGAGATCTAACAGACTTCATCAGCAGACTGTGAAGCTCAAAAAGGAAAATGCAGTATACAGTGTACATGTACTATTTAGTCTTTTGCATTAGAGGAATATCCTATAAACTTTTTCATCTAAGCACCATAAAACAGTCCTCGTGAATTTTGCCAATTGAGAGAGAAACAATTATGAAACTTAATACGCCCTTTCGGATTGGAGATCAGTAGCAATTTTCAGCAGATGAACGTTAGATGTGAGTTGTCACCTTTCATAAAATTCTTTCCCAATTATCTTTTAACTTTGTGAAATAGTCGAGTGTTATGTCAGCTATTAAGTCTGCGTTTTTATATAAGGTTAAAAAAAAATATTTCTTATTGGGGAGTCAGACAGTTCATGAAAAGGACAGTGGTTGTTAGACATGGTCTGCTCTTCAAATTACTAACTTTGGTCTACTGACACTTCAAAATAGAAATATCTTTTTATTCATGGTGGTGACTGATAGCATGTTAATATTCCTGAGTGTGTTGTTGGGAATTTTCTGTAGGAAAGGAAGAAAATTGAACAATCAATGTCTAGTTCTAGAAGTTTTTTGGTCATGTTTCAGTTCTGCAAATTTCTTATTTGAACAAATCAGTAAAATTTATTGCCAAGTTTGTACTGATGCTACTAAAATTTTAGAAGCGCCTGAATTTTGTTTTAGATCATAATATTCTAAAAATCCAACCTTCTGACAACACGAGTCATGGATCTCCTTCAGAAGATAAACCGCAAGAGGCACATGCCACCGTGTCATGGAAGTGCTCGCAGTGTCATCTGCACATCTGAGTTAGGAAGGCAGGTGTCACTGTAAACTAAGAGAAGGGGAGGAAACACTGTCTGTCCCAAATACGTTTTCCTTCCTCCTGATTTCTGAGAGCTTGTCGCAGGCAGTGTCTGTGATGAATATGAAAAAACAGGTGTATTCTACCAAAATAACATACTACAGAAAATACAGACACAGGAGGATTTTTAAGATCTATTTTCATGGCAGTTTTTCAGTGTGACTTGCAAGCGTGCTGGCTTATATTTCATACCTTTTTAAAAATTTCTCACTGCTGTCAACCCGGTACTACCGGGTGATGGTGCTGCTTTTTCACTGCAAGACAGACTGAAATTCTTGTAACAAAAAGTCATAACAGAAGAGCTGAACTGTGTGATGTTTTTATTCTGCCTTCTAAATGCCTGCAGTAGTGAGTGTTAGGAGCGACACTAAATGTCAACCCAAACCAGTGCTGGAGGCTCTGCATGGATACTGCCAGGGTCATCCACCATTTCCAGTATATGTACAACAAAGCACACAAATGGCAAAGCTAGCAGAACTGCTGTCCGATATTTTTTTTTTATAAACGTGTTTTTCATTTCCAGATAACAAAAAAAAAACCCATATGGGCAGAAGCATCTATTATATACTTGCCTCAAATCTTTGAAATGTTGTCATACGAAATTCTCCTTTAATCCCCGAAAGCAGTAATGAAGAAGAAGGATTTTGAATGAAACGAGTTGCTTATTCAACTCCTAAGTTAAAACAAGTCTTCCTCTTGGACCTCTAGTTCCTGTATTATGTTCAATACATACATACCTGGAGTTTTGCCTAAATACTCTTTCAATATTCCAAAATTGTACTCTGGCCTCTACACTTTACGTGTATGATCCTCATCCCCTTTCCTACATGGCTATGGCTGTAGGTTTTTCTCAGACCTGATATGCTAACTAGAGAGAGGAGTCAGCCTTAGTCAATACTCTGATGGGATCATTCACAACCTCAGTCAGTACACTGTAATTTGTGAAAATGGTGTGAGTGATGACTAAGACACAGGAAACCAGCAGCATGGATATTTGCCTCACCGGAGATTCCCTAATATCAACTCTTTACGTTTAGTAACAGCAGTAAAGAGCTCCTTCTTCAGAGCTTAACTAGTGTTGGCAAGAATTAGAAATTTTGATTTCCTTTCAAGTTTTAGAGAATCTGAACAGTGTAAACACTTTTGGGAATCTGGCTGTAACTTCATGTTGTAACAGAAAATTATTTATATGAGGAGGTTTCCAACTTAGCTGTACCAGAGATTCCAGTGTCTCATCCTGAGTCCTAATGTAGCATTTCTCCTACTTGTTTAATCAATCCCATTGCAAAATTTTCACTGATACATCAAAAAAAGTCTGGAATGACAATGCTGTAATATTTTACTCTATTTTACTACATTTGAAAATGGTTTCCACTGTCCATAGACTGTATGCGTCTTGACTAGTGATTCCTCTGCCCTGGTCACTTAATAGTTACTGTAATTTCTCAGTACTGACCTGCACTTTGCTGCTGTGGAATCTGAGTCTGATGTGGCAGGTTCCTACAAGAAACAATTTTGTATCTTTAATGGCTCCATACAAACTCTGAAGTATGTTATGCATAGAAGTTTAGTATTTAAAATTTGGAGTTTTGCCTACAAAGCAATAATCCATTTTCACTATACAAATACAGTTGTCACAAGATTATCCGAGTAAATTAAAGAAAATTAGCGTTTAGGGGTCGTTCATGTTACTGTAATTGTCAAGTAGGTTCAGAGGCTCAGACTTGGCAAAACACCAGAAGTAACAAGAGTCACTGGAGGCTTCTGATGTTATGCAAAGTGTGGTTTCCATAAGTGATGAATAGAGAAAAGGTGACAGTCTTTGCAACTTAATTATTGACCGTGGAATGAATGAATGGTTAGCTAGTTTTACACATCAGATTAGTTCACTTATCCAGACAAAGTTACATTCCCGTGTCCTGTTTAAGTGCCTATTTCAACAGCGACCAGATGCTAAGGTCGTTTTTACAGAAAGGAATTAGGGGTTGGAATGCAGGTGAAGCACATAAAAACTCTATGTGGAACTTAAGAAAGCCTTTGGTACAGGCTCTGGCACCCCAGTCATAAAATTTGCTATTCTGAATAGAGAGGAAACTGTAAAATACAGGGTAGAGCACTTTGCAGCAGTTGTACAAGAGATAATTTATACAGCTATACTCTCTGGAGAACTTAAGCTTTGGGACAGGGAGAAGAAAACACTCTTCTAGCACTTATCTACACTAAGAAGGAAATTCGGGGCAAGCATGTGTAAATTAGGGCCAAGTTCGTGCTGAAGCCACGCAGGCCTGCCAGCTGAGGAGGTGCCGACGGAGGCAGTGTCATAGCGCGGCACTGGAAAACAACGCCAGCCGCTTCGGAGACCGCTGCCTCAGGTCTGCTCAACCCCAGACGCCTCCACCAAACCTTTCTAGAAACGCCTGTTGTGACAGCTACATGACTAATTACTTACAAAGTCTGGATTTTCTGGTATGAAACTACCACCAACCCGGTGATAGTTCTATACCAGAACTCCAAAGACATGGGTTAAGAGGTAGGGTGTCTAAAACAGAACAGTAGACAGATTCCTCTGACAAAAGTATTTTTCTCCAAAACATGCAGGAATCTAACTGTTCCACGCAAAACTTCTTGCCAAGTCTGCAGACTGAAACCCAGCCATTTAATTTTGTAACAGAAGGCCTTTCTTTCTGCTGGAAATGCAAACATCAGAGCAGTCCTGAACTACAGCGTCATTACTGATACCTCCACAATAAACACATTTCAGATGACAAACACTGGAATCCATAGTTAAATCGCGCAATATCACGAGTATTCAAAAATAAAATAAAATCTAAATACTTACTGCTGCGTTTGCATCAGTGGCATACTGGTATTATCATAGCTGTCTGTGTGAAGGGGCGGTACAATCTCACCAGTAACAGGGTGAAACACAGGAAGCGTTGAAAGAGGCCACGCTATCTCTCTATTTTTAGACATGTCACGAAGCTCTTTGGTTGATTTCTGTATAGCACTGTGGTGGACCAACTGGATGCTATGCCAAAAGGAAATAAAATAGTAAATACAAAATGCTCTATCAAAATGGATAGACTTTTACAATTATTATTTATCTTAAAAATACAAGGACTTCAATGCACACTACAGACTCTATAGTGCAGCAATTACAGTAAACCTTGACATAGTTAATTTAATAAATATTGATTTAATTTTTAAGGCAGTAATTATTCCATTAGATTTTGCTGTCTGGATGAGTATTTTTCCTAGGATCCAAGACTGTGCAATTTACTGCTAACGTTCCATTTATTTGTTGCAGTTAAAATAAAAGTTTTGGTTAACTCCTGATTCTTGTGGTAAATTGGTAGAAACTCATAGTTTAATTTTAAAACACTCCATAGTACAGGCACTGGATACCTTCCAGGATATTTGTTCTCCTGTCCACTGCTTTTAAGATATAGACTGCGAAGTCCAATAACCAGGAGTGTAAATTAGGTATGAACATATTTACTCTAACAGCACTATTTTATTTTGAATCGACAGTCGTTAATTTCAAACCCTTTTTATTCTGGTCTTCTATCCTTATCAAGACTCTGATTTAAAAGCAGCTTTCACATTTTATGAATTAAACTATGGATTAGAAAGAATGAAAGAAGATTATGACACACATGTATGAAGCATGACAAGCTACTGAGAATGAAAATTAAATGGTAAAAGAAAAATAACAGGAAAGAAGACACTTACTCTGGTGTTTGCATGTTTCTCTTTTCCCTAAAAACAAAACAAAATTTATGAATTAAATAATAGCATTGATAGTTGGAACATTAAGTCTATCTGATGATGAAAATAGTACATGATGTAGAAATGCTGACAAGGTTATTGCTAAACGCAGTTGGCAGCATTTGCAGCTGGGTTTGTGATGAGGCTTTGATGAACGCACAGAGAGAGATGAGATACTGATGACGGACACACATGCACAGACACACACGGAGAGAAATGAAAATGCAAGTTAAAGAACAAGCTTCTGGCTAAAATAAATTCTGTGACAAAATGAAATTGTAGTTTGTGTAAGAAATGGCAGAAATTACGTTACTTGCTGCTTTCCATTTATGTGGTTTTCTTTTATAAAACGTCTAAATTCAGTTCATCTCCTCAACCAGATTTATTTTATAAAAGTTAGCATTTTAGAAATTACTTAATACTGTCCTAAATCAAAGATCTTTTATTAGTATTTTATTTGTTTGCGGCATTTTGGAGAGCTGTGCACATGTGGAGATTCAGTGGAGTTTTGTGCGTACATTGAGATTTTTAACCCTTTCAACTAGAATAGCTAAAGGCCCTATATCCATTCTTTTGGAAATTACTGTTATGTGCTTAGGTGAGAAATAGTTCAGTATTTCAAGCAGGTATCTTTTGGCTTGTTTTAAATGTTTTTAATGAACTGAATGGAATTCTTCCAACAAATAGCCTTCTATGCATTATAGTCTTAGAAAAATCTACAATTGCTTATTAGTGTGTTAAAGTACTCACACTCCTTCCCGTCGGCAGCACATGATATAGGCAAGTATTAGAAAAAGCACTAGTGCTATTGCCGAGGGCACTGCCAGTGTAATTAGGAAATCCGAGTAATAGTCTCTGCTTTTCAGTGTATCAGAAGGTGGCTTGTATTCTCCACCATCAGGTAATATCCCCTCTCCACGAATCACTTCCTGAAAGGTGGAAACTTGTTTTGTATTGTCAACCTGATATCCAGGAGAAAAAAAAAAAAGAAGAAAAAAAAAAGACAATTATATAACAAAGTAACAGAATGAAAAGCAGGCAGTATTTAACCAACTATAATGTATAAAAGAACCCATATTACATATTTGACAAATTCTATACAATTTCATCCAATCACTTTATTTTAAAACAATAAAACCTTACATTTTGTTGAAAGCTTCTGATTGATGTGATAAGTACTATTATAATATTAGCACTTCATTTTATGCCTACCAGAGATACTATGTTTTTTTACAGTTTAATTTTAGAGAGATCTCACACAAATAGTAATTCGAATAAAAATTCAGTAAACATTTTTATTGCAAACTAATTATTCGACACTGATTTCTTTTAGATGAATTAATCCATTTCTTACTAGACTTCCTAAATAACAATGCTGCCCTCTCTCGTACGAAGGTGGTGAAGATGAAGAGTGGAGTACTTAGGATTTTCTTCGTCCTCCTTTCTATTAAGCTTCACATCCAGTGCTCAAAAAAGCAAGAGGCACGAACTGAGCAGCTCTATTGCCTCCCCACCCACCCGCTGCAGGAAGGGCCCCAACAAGACACGTGCATTTAGTTGATCAGAGCCACAGTTCCAAGGTTTTTTCTACCTCCTAATTCAATCCACCTCCAGAAGGCTGCACTTCCTGGTCAAGAGTAATTTTTATTTTATTTTTTTAATGTCTGTATCTAATGTTTCTACAAATACAATCTTTTTTTGCTACTTCCATATTGCATTTAACTGATTGCCTTTCCCACATGACTTTTCAATTTTTGCCTTAATTTTCTTACTATCTTCAGTTAAATACTGCTTTTAAATTTCATCAGTTAGTTTTAAAACTCTCTCCAGATCATTAATGAAAATAAATTTTATTTGCCTACATCCTTGGCCTTTTGCCTGACATCATTCATTGAGAAATCTTGCAACTGATAGTCATTTCTTTATAGCTTACACTTTAAGTCATAAAATGGTGTATTAAAATTTATGCAATGGATGAACAGGTTTTTATGGAATGCTAGAAATAATGTTTTGTTGAGCTTCAAATGCATACATATATATATTTTAAGTGCAAGACAGTTTGATAAAAATTAATTTATGTATTTTCCACTCATTAATTCCACAGTATCTTTTATGCTAGGCACACCAAGTTCCACCTGGCTGCTTCACTGAATCTCAAACCATAAGCAATGTACAAAAAATATTTATGCACTTATTGATGTGACTGACAGAAGGCCATACACGACACGTGAGAACAATCTATCAGAAAGCAGTGTTAAAAGAAGCATGTATTCATGTTCCCTCTCTTTTCAGAATTTGGGAGTCACAAACTTAAATCCGCTCTAAGTGCTACCAGTCAACGTCACCTCATAAAAAGTGAGAGGAAGAGGATATGACAGTAGTATTTTCACTCACTGGTCTATGTTGTGGTTATGGGAAACGGAGCTCAGTTCCCTCCCAGTCCATGGATTTTGGGGGATTTGATGCCCCTTGGCTTGCCTTGTGACAAGCAGACCGAGATTAGATAAGAGGGAAGCTTGGCTCCCTTTTCCCTTTGATGCACCAGGCTACAGCATGCGGCAGCAACGCTGTTGGCAACACTGTTGAAATTCAGTTATTGTGGCACGCTGCCAAAACAAGTGCTGAGTTCAAGAAGGTTGTGTTATAGGCTGCTGCAGAAAATTACGCTTCTCTGACAGCCTGTTCCTGCTACACATCCCGGGGCGATCTCTGTTTTTCTTAAAACAACACGACAATGCTGCTTCATAATTAGTTTATGAGCCACTGTTACTATGGGACCTTTTTTCTGGAGAAGTATTCCTACACAGGTGCTCTTCATTCTGCACAGGTACGGTTGCTTATTCCTTCATTAATGCACTACTCCTCTGCTGCTCCTTTTGAAATTCACCTTGTTTTCTAAGGCTGTTTCTCCAATTTCCCCACACCTTTCTGAATTCTATCCTATCCTTCAAAGCATCTTCAGTTTCACAGGGACTGTAAATTTAATTTAATAAGCACATTCCCTCATCCAGCTCACTAAAGAAGAATGGCAAGGAATTATTAATAATTCTGCTATGATTATGGTTATCCAACCAGCTCTCCACTAGGCCATGTTTCTGAGCTTGCTTATGAGACAGTATCAAAAAACCTTACCAAAAAGAAATGACATCTGCTGCTGCACCTCTGTTCTACTTTTTTGTAGAAGGAAATCAAAGACTTGACATAGCCTTTGTCAAGAACAAACTGACTGCCTTCTACTATGCAGGTGCTGGTAAGTATTGCTGTGTACACATGCACCTTTTGCAATTTCTCAACAGAAAGCCAATAAACAGTGAATAATCTCGATATTCTTTTGAAAACAAGTCTTTTCCAGTTTTCTAACAGCTTTCCTAATTTATAGTGTAGAGAAAGAAAGGGTTGGAAGTTTTCTAACAGATTCTGTGTATGAACACCTTTTCTCATACTCAACACATTTTTTACGTTGTACAAAAGTCTGTCATACCTCCCTTTCAGTTTCCTCTTGGGTAACGTCTGAAGCAGCTCAGCAATCATCTAAGTTTATTTTATGTACCTTCACCATCTTTATTCAAACTCTCTTTCAGTAAGGTACCACTTCTTCATTTTCCTCACCAGAACTAAACAAAAATAACCTTAAAAAGTGTCTTTGGGAATTATACTTCTTCTGTGGCAAACAGTCTAGTGTTCGGTTATCACTTTTCTTGTATTTGACTGAGAAGAATATTCCCATTTATTTTGATTCCATGAGTCAACACTATTTTCATTTTCTATTGTTTTTAACATGAAATATGTTCTAGACAATTTTCAGAAAGATTTTTTTAACAGCAAAGAAACACTATTTAACTGGTCAGTGCCGTTGATTCAATATTTGAGAAAACATCTATAGACACACGCTTTTTAAGAAAGCAAATGTAACTAGCAGTATTAGCACACTGAACTAATGCACTACACCTACATAAATCATTCTCTCATTACTTTTACTTCTGTAAGCCCTAGAGTTCTCTGGCCAGTTATATAAATCTAACAGAACTTAGCCCTACATAGCAAAATCCTTTCACAATCTTAAGAGTGCCTACTAGATGGAAAACAACGCCCATCAGTCATGATAAAGTGGAATTTGGTAGAGTTGTCTGTCCTCGCTGACAAAACTCTTACCTCAATCATATCTGTCATAAAATATTTTACTTCTACGAACATAATTTTTATGCAATAATAAAATAACTCACCAGAGAGATTTTACACCAGTCAATATGGAATTGAGTGCGAAACTTTTTATCACAGGTTATCACAGGCTCCATTTCTTGACTGCACCTCAGCTGATTTTGTGGGTTTTCCACCTCTCGTAAGCATGAGGAGAACGGAACATCTGCCCCAACCATAACATACACACTGTAGAAAGATAAGTGACAGACGGTCAGGACACCTCTCACAAATCCCCAAAGGACGATGATGACGTACTCTTCCAAATATTATTATTGTTCACAGTAGCATTCAGTCGTGCTTTAAAGACAAAAACTATTTTTTACTATTATTTTTCTTGATAGTATACTTTATCTAAGCATATGAATAACAATGAAATCAAAAGGATTTTTCTAGCTACTTATTACAACATATTCTGTTTCGCTGCATAATGTAAATGCTTGCTTACCACCAGTTATCAATTCCTATGAAGTCATGGAGCTCCAAGTGTAGGTTCCTCATGTAAGTAACGCAGTATTACTTTTGAAAAGGACATTAAAAGAGTATGACTTTATTTTAGGGAAATCTTCAATCTTGCTCAGCTTTATAGAGTTTCTTCCCATGTTTTTAAATAAAATTCACAATGACTATTTATTTCTAAACCTAATACTAACATGAACCTGCCAAGGCCCCCAACTGTTCCTAAAAGATTCCGTATTGCAGCTATGCACTGCCAACAAAATTTGCAGAATACTGAAAGCTCAATGTAAACTTAATACTTCATTTAGCATTACAGTACATAAAATAAGAGCTACTGTGCTAATTGTATTATTCATTTTCATATTTAAATATGTAGAATGCTGCTGGAAAATACAGTCTACTGCACCAGGTAATAATGTACCAATGGATCATGAAACAGTAATCAGGTCCTGGTTGCCATTTGGTATATTAGGCACTAGCTAAATAAATGTTTGAAATGTAAATAATAAAGCATTAAATGGCTCTGCTATTACTCTGGCTAGTACAGAAGACACTTTCCTTCTTTAGATCTGCTCAGAAACTCCAAATGCACAAAAGGGCTCTGAAACAAAAACATTTTCTACACCCATCTCAGATTTTGAACCCTCAGTCCTTTCTAGATATTATTTGACCCTAAAACATCTAAAAATATCTAAAAATAACTAGGCATCTTTATTTTTTGCCAGGGAAAAGCACTACCTCAACCTTATTTTGAAAAGACTGAATCCTTATTAGTATTTTAAATATCCTATTTGAGAACAGAATTTATGGTTATGAATCACAACTGGAAATAGTACTTCCTGCAGTTCACACTCAGTAACCTAAGTTCCCCAGATACCCCAGCTTATCACCTTCAAATGAAAGTCCACAGTGCTCCTGAAGCACATAATGAAATTTCACTAAGTAAAGAGTACAGCTACGACACTGTTATATGCTAAATGCTCTTAGAAATCTAAGTGTCTTTGTAATCTCTGCTCAATCACACCTTGTTTCACAATTTTGAGTATTGTGAATTGGGAAGTATTAAATACTTGAAAAGCATGCCAAAGAACTGCTCAGAATTAAGACTGGAATTACAAAATAAGCATATTTACTACCAACTGTTTGATAATTAATGAAATTTACTAATTCCTTGGATTGTAAGATCGACATATATGAATTGTCGCCTCTTGAAATGGCATCTAACATGGTAAATCCTTGGTATAACAGGGCTTGGAACATCCGTAAACTTTTCGTATCTAATTCCAAAATATAAAACAGTTAATGGCAAAGTTTCAAGAAAACCTGAAAAAATATTAAACTTTTCAGTAAGCAAAAAAAAAAGTAAAGCAAAAACATCAGACCAACGCATGTGCTTACCCCTCTTTCATGTCATTAATAGGAAGTGGAACTCTCCCTCCCCTGTCGAGGGCTGAAGTAATGTTTATAGCATTCAAGCGTTCCGGCTGCCAAACATTTTTCACTGCTCCGAGAAAGTCGCCAAGAACTTCACTTGCTAACATTTCTTCTACGTTCATATTCCTTATGAAGAACTCCGCTTGATATGGTAAAGGAAAATCTAGTTATGATGAAAAAGGAAGAGTTTTGCCTTAAACAAAGGCTCCATAACAAAGAACCGGAAGTAATGATTAACATAATACCAGTTCAAGATTACACACCTTTCCAAAAATCTTGTATTTGAACTAGCTTATTTTGAACCTAATGTGATTATGTTTAATTAGTCAGTTAGTACCATTAGCTGTACTTAAGCTGAAAACCACTGGCTATTTATAAAACAAATGGGAGATGAAGTAATGGACTAGAGGAAAAGAGTCTCAGCTGTTAAATCTTCATTAAACACATAGAATTACATTCATACTTTGAGTTCAAAACTGATCTGCAGTGACAGCGGATTCCAACCTGCAATACTGGACAATGTAAATATGTAAGTATGATGAAAAGAACTAATTTTAAGGACACAAACATCCACATGTATGCCATAACCTGTTGTTTTTTAACTCTGCCTATACAATTGTTCTCTGCATGAAGAACATGCAGAACTAAGAAAACGAAACAACATACATGAAAGATTTTACTTTTTCTGCAAAGTCCATTTGAAAAGACAGAGGAAAAATTTAAAATTATTTTTTTTAAAAAAAGGCAAACAGACATTTTTTATGAATGAGGAATAACAATTCTACCTGCCAGAAATAATCTGGATAAAAATAACAAATTGAATCAAAATATGGAAAATTGTCTAACTTTCCCCTTGTGCCCTTGCATTTGGCTCGAACACTAGACAATTATTTTACAATGTTTTTTATCTTAAAAGAACAGGAGCCCATAAGATGGTTTTGCTTATTCAGTTCAAAACATAATAAGCTATTTTCTACACATACCTTCTGCTGACATTATATTAATGATCAAATTATGTCTTGCTGTCTCAAAGGTACGCCTGTTATATGCAGTGATCTAGAGTGAAATATGAAAATCAGGAAATGAAACATCAATGAAAATTACATTGATAATTTAGAAATACTTATCACCTTTTAAATGCTTTGCCTCCTTATTTTGAAATGTATGAACGTTCATTCATTAATATAAAATTTGAAAGGTAAGGTCAAATTATTTGATGCAGTATTACCTTCAAGTCAGGATACTGGAATTTTCTCAACCAGTTTACAGCCAAATACAATTATCCAAGCGATATATGTGAAAGTAATATATTTTGATCCAGACAAAAGTGTTTTGCCATACAGGTGTATTTCTTTTCTGCTCTCTTTCATGTAAGAACAACCACAAGCAAAGACCGGCTTCTCCCCTTCCTTGTCCATCCTCCAACCCCCCCTCCACCAATACCATCAGATTCATCAATAGCTCGTAGAGAACTAAACTAGATGGAGATATTTAAAAGAAATTTTTTCAGGATGCCAGCAATTCTCATCTTTGGGACCAGGGTTTAGTTTTAGCTCTAGCCCCAGCGAAGTCATACTCCATGAATGGATTCACAAGCATTACTCCAACACAAGCGGTTTTTAAAAAAATCCTGGATAGTGTAACTGTACGGGAACCGAAAACTAGTAGGTAGATGCAACATTCATTACTCTTATTTTTGGAAACTTACGCCTTCATGATCAAATTACATAAGAATACCAATCTTATAGTTTAAATGTACAGGATGCCTGAAATGCTTGGAAGTGGTTACTCCTCAGTGGTGACTGTACTCTGAAGTTGTACTATGGTTAACTGCTCGTTCATAAGAAATACAGAATGAGGCTGGATATTGGTATAATAATGTATTATTTTCTCTCCTCTTTTTTTTCCTGAAACATGATAAATCTTTCATAAAAGAAACTGAAAAAGACTAACTTTTTTCCTAATTTTAGACTTTAGTTCATTCATTTCTGGGACAAAGGAGAGGCAGAGAAGTGGCAATAGTAACAGAACTATGTTTCTTCTCAGCAAACAGAGCTACAAACCATTGTGACATTGATTATTAAACAAACAAAAGCAACAGATGTTGCACTTCTTTTAAGGGGTTTAAATGAACAGGAAAAATGCTCTCGAATATTTTCTGCAGCTTCATTTAAAGGAAAAGCTTACTTGACACAATTACATCTTATGTAATGTAAAAATTTCATTATAAAATTAATAGAAAATAAATTCCAGAGATTTTTGCAATCCTCAATTCTGTTAATTTTTCAAAGGGTTGTTTCAACAGTAGATTAAACATTAATACTTAGAAACGTAACTCTCTGGTTGCACAAGCTCTATACCGGAACCTGACAGTACTCACTTTGAGTAGTGAGTTGCCAGTGTGGACCACGCACCTGTACCGAGTAATAGTAGAGTACTCAGTAGAAAGGAGACGGCCTTTGTGCTGAATAGTCGTTCAAACACAAACCATCTTTGCGCAGCTTCCAAAGGAGCTTGAGCTCAAGAATCTTACCTGCTCTATCTACTGTGGTACTACGGATAATGTTAGGCTCTTCCAATAACGAGGTCTCCTCCAATTAATTGACCATGACATCACCTCAGGAATTACATGATGAAAGTTATATTCAGGCCAGGAATACACAACCACTCCTCTCAGATGGCACTAGGAAGCGAATCGAATGCAATCTGCCCTCCTCACATACTACAGAATTAATTCAAAAGCCATTACTGAGAGTGGGATTGCAAGGAATTAATTTATATGCTAGGCAAGATTTAGTTCAAATACAGGCTTGGGGTCATGCTTAGAATGGAGGTCTTGATATAGATCCTCGAATCTAAAAGCACACGCCACTTTAAAAAGGGCAATTTTAAATAACCGTTTCCTTGACAGAAAACCGAGCGGAGTCTGCAAGTACTTCTGCACATGATTAATTTTACAGATGTTCTGCTGAAATCAAAACTGAATCATGTATATAAAATTAAGCATGGGCGAAATCATCTACAGCATAACTTAACATTTAGAGAGGTCATTCTTGAGACAGAAAAACTGTATCAAATGCAGTTTAGAAAAAAAACCACAAACTCATCAAGGGTTTAAGACAAAGGTACTGCTGAAGCAGCAAAATGGCTGGAGCAAGTTAATGAGCAGATTTGTCCTTAACATGTGAACCACATAGTGTCTGATTCAGTCTGCTGTGATAGACAGTGCAGAAAATACCATCCTTTTTCCCTTTCAATTGCTGCTCAATGAATGATTAGTGCCTTAAAACATTTGGACAGGTAATTGTCAAAAATAAAGTAGCAGGTTTTGTCATTGTTACACTTATAATAATAGAATTAAATACATGTAAGTGCTAATTAAAATAAAATCTATCAATAAACATGAATAATGAACAAGGGAATAGTGGATGAAAAATACTTTAATTAAAAAAACCCACAAAAAAACCCAAAAAAACCCCCACAAAAACCTGTTTATTGACTGAACGCAATAGTGGATGAAAAATACTTTAATTAAAAAACCCACAAAAAAACCCCAAAAAAACCCCACAAAAACCTGTTTATTGACTGAACGTTATATTTTCCAATGAGGAAAAGTCTGGCCCATATTTTGAGTTGAATGTTGTAAAGTTCAGAAATCAGCTATTCTTCAAGCATAGTTGTTTACAAAGTTTTTTTGCCCTGTATTTTGAATAAAACTTGAATATATTCATAATTTATCAAAATGAAATGCCTCTTAAAAAGATGAAGGGCAAGAATAAAAAGGTATTGCATCTAGGACTATTAAGCCTAACTGGTTATTGCTGTTATACCTTAAAAGTAAAACATGAAACATCATACAACTTGGCTTTCTCTCAAAAGACGATATAATGGCACCTAAGAGAAAATGTTAATGTCACAAGCCCCTGTCCCTGCCTTATAATTTTTTTTTATTGTAATTAACTTTTCAAAAATAAAAAGCAATACCTGTTGATGGTTCTGAATCTTATACTCTAAACCAAAACACATCTCTTTGAACTTTTGAAAGAAAATACCTCAATGATAGTTGGTTTGCCCACATTTTCTACAGTCGGTGAGCCATACAGCACTCCATCACTGTATGGTGTCCTTTGAATATAGCGTAGCCATCCAGGTCTGTCAGGGTAACCCATTAAATTGGTATTAAACGTTATAGGATCATTACTTATTTCACCTAGATAAGAAAAATTGTATTAGAATATTTACAAGAAAATGCTATATGCTTTCATTTTGATATCTCCATTAGAAAGTCCTATTCTGACTTCCAGTTATGTTTTCTAAACTTTTCCAAAAGAAAGAAAAAAAGAAAAAAAAGAAAAAGAAATTGCTAACCTTTATCATATTAGAAAAATGTGAACTCCTACTTAGTACTTGTAAGTATTAAGAAATCCATCTCTGAAAAGTGTAACCAACTGCAGAGATGAATGTACTGGTACCTCCTAGAGTCCTGGCTACCTGAGTGCTCGTGCTTATTAGTAGATCTGATTTTTAGAGCTCAGTTCCACCCTAGAATTGAAGCATCTAACCTCCTTCCTGACAAAAGCACAAAAAGGTCTCAGTCCTTTAATTCCCAAAAATCTTTCTTTTATTTATGTTTTTAATGATGGCTCCAGAGACCCAGTATACCTGGGAGGGCTTACTGTAAAGAGTGACTGTGTAATAACCATCAATGCCTGAAAGCTTCTGTTAGCATCCGGATATGGATACAGGTCTTCAGCACCAACAGCCTGCCAGCAGTTTTTCTACAGAGAACAAGTTAATGCAAAAAAGGACCAGACATTCCTGCAAAATGGATCCACTGATGCCTACTAAACACAACTGTCCAGATGCGATCTCTAAAAGCCCTTCAAGTCAAACCAGTATAACACTTACGGTGGTTCTTATTGAAACTGTTACAAATGGTCAGATTTGACTTCTGTTTATTTTAGCTTTTGTAAGCACCACCAGATCTTCACCATTGAGCTGTGAGCACCTTACAGCTGAGACACAGAGCTTGGGCAAATCTGCCCTGTGCCTGCACAGGTACCTCTACACCGTGCTCCTCCAACTCAGCTGTGAAACGGCAACAGCAGCAATTGCAGAAGTGACAAGAGAAGATGATGGGCAGGCTGGCACGGAAGGTAGAAACTGAGCCCAGTGAAGAAAGAACATGTCACCTCCTCCAGAGAGGAACAAAGAGACTGAGTCCTGTTCCCAAAGGGTAACTAGTTTTCAAGTACACGTTTACGCATCTGGCTGTGGCTAAAAGGTACCGAAACCACACCAAACCCACATGAGGGCATAACGCAACTTTCCTCACAGTTCTCTCAGGATGTCCCAGTAATCCAATCTATTGCATTTGTAACAAAATTCTCAGCATCACAAATAATTTGGAGAAAAATCTCAAAGCTATCTGTCATACATTCTGGTTTGCCCTTCATCAAGGTAGGCCATGCTAATGATCCAGCACAGCAGACAAAAATAAAAGGACCATGGTAACAGCTAGCCTTGCAGGGAATTTCTGATATCATCATCATCGTCTACAGGTACAATTTCAGCAGTAGCTGAAAACAGATTCATACTGCCTTTGAATCACATGAATGTCAAGACAGGCTGGGGCCGTAAGGATTCGAAAGACAATCCATCTTTAGTAAAATTTCCAGGTTTGTTCCATCGATGTGCCAAAATTGGGAAAAAACTTGGACAGAGGGAAACTTCACTCTGCCAGTCACTGTTACATGAAATGAAGACTCAGATATATATCAGGAAAAAGATCCGTTTTTCAAGGAGAGGAAATTTTTAAAACATTTGGTTTCATTCATGACAAAATTTAACCAATGCTAACAGAAGCTTATTTTTTCTTTAAAGTGAGTTTTGAAAAAAGTACCCTCAAATCAATACAAAAGCTTATTAATGAAACAGTTTTTGATTATGTGTGCACTGTACATGTGTTATAGGTTTTTCCTATTTTTATATGAAAATAGTATAGTTATATTTACATAAATAGGATATATTTTCATATTTATTATTATTTTTCATTATTGATAAGCAAATGGGGCAGAAGGCTCTCTCCTTCTCTTCCCATCCCTCAGATTGCTTATATATATTCTAACCTGCCAGTGATCAATCCTTTAGTTTTACCTTAGTGTACATCAAAACAACTTACTTGGGAAATTACAGCTCCTTCTCTAAAAACAAACTCCTTACTAACATTAAACTGTTCCTAAATATAGGAGGAAGGCTGAATCCAAATGAGTATTTGTTTTAAATGAAAGAAGACATCATTACATAGTCTCATATTTGATTTAATCTTCTGTTTGGTCTCAAGCTTACTATATGCTTTCAAAGTGCTCTTTCATATAGCCTGATACATACTATGTCTGAAACAGTGATCAGATAAATGGCATTTTCAACAGACACAATTATTAACCTTCTACGATTTCATATTTAATACCAAAGGGAAGAAAAAGGTATACTTCCTAATCTCACATATATAACGTGTTTTTACACCTTCCCAAATTATTAAGTACATTTTTCACAATACACAATTATATGCATCTTTTCACAAATAATGATCACAAACAGAACATTTTAAACTTGTAGGACCACGTATTTTATTTCATTTGAAGATATTCCAATAGAAATTAAAAATTGTCCTTTGTATGTTAAATGCTGAACTGTAAGATATGCTAACTAGACTCGAATTTTTTGAAAATTTTTTTTATATATAATTTTTACATAATATGGAAGATCTTAGCATCCCATACCAGGCTTTGGGTAAGGAGGAAATTCCCCCTTAAAGTACTCTCTCTCCAAAACATGAACAAAAAGAACTCCAGCGGAAGGGTATACATTCCGATCAGAGTGCACCTTAGACAGAATCGTGTACACTGAAAAGCAGAAGGAAAGATAAGAGACAGAAAAAAGCAAAAATGAGACATGCTCAAGATAAAAAGGCATGCATTTCAACAGCAATGTGGGCAATCTGGGAGAAGGAAAGCAACAAGTATTAGACACCTGTTAATAAGTTTTTTAAAAGGTTGCGTAGATTTAAGAACAGAACACAGAGCAAACCCTCTCTATGCCCAACAGGATCCCTTCCAACACTGCAATAAACAAAGCTGGCTACGTTAGGATTTCAGAAGTTGCACAAGCTCTTTAATTTCTCTGTGATAAAAAAAAAAAAACCACAATAAGGAAGGCTATTCTAATTTTATAGTTCGTTTATTTGGAATATTACATGAATAAAAATACATTAAATGAATGATACAATTGTGTTTTCTTGATATTTTATATAAAAATAAGGAACATGAGAAATACAGAGGAACCTTATCAATCAATGGTACTGGCTCCTCACTGAGTGGAAACGGCAGATTTTTCAGTTCTTGTGCAGAAAAGGACAGAGCAGTCCACTTCAGCTGAGGATTTCTATGAGTTCTTAACGCTAGACTTTCTTAGACCAGCAAGTTCAGATAACGTACATCTAAAAATCTAGTTAGAGAGATCATTATTGAAGATATTGTGCTTGCATTGAAGGATAAAACAGAAGGAAATGGGCAATCATAGGCCAGTCAGGTGTCACTGATTACAAACAAAAAAGCAAAGCCATAGTTTACATGACTCAATTAAAAATCTAAAGGAAACTTAATTCAGAACAACTAGCATATGTAAAAGCAAAATATTATTTTTTATGTAATCACAAATTTAGTTGAGAAAAGTAAATCTTATTTAGGTATAACACATTTGACACAGTACTATATACACATTCTAATGAATTAGAAGAATACAAAAATCATTATGATACATTAAATGGATAAGAAACCACTTTATGGACAAGTTTAAAAATTTAAGTATAAATAGAGAATAGTGATCTAATAGGTGTTTCTCATGGTGTCTTAGCAGGACACACTGTAGGTCACATTACTATTCCATATTACTATTCAATTTTAAATCAATGCCCTGAAAGAATCAATCATTGCTGGTAATTTTTGTCAATGAGATGAGGATTACACAAGTGGTAAAGAAAGATAAGTCACAGATACAGAGACACAAAGCTATCGGCCCTGCTTGCTAAACTGAAAGCTTTATGAGAAGTCACACCTCTGAACAAAGATTATAGGCCATACAGCATGGGAGTACTGTCAAAGGGAAGAGCAACTCCGAAAAAGACTTCAGAGTTCTCATAAATAACTCATAGGAACAAACTCAGACGTTTAATCTTGTAAGAGGTACAATTTCAACACTTGGATCAATAAGAAATTGAAATGTGGATCTAGCTCATGTAATTTTCTAATCCTGGTATAATTTCTCCAGCCTTAGCATTATACCAACCTTCTCACTTGAGATATGCTTAAAAAGCCACTGCTAATTAGGAATTAATCACAGACGTTCCATCCCTCGCACCACGTACTCCATGTGGAATCTATCTCACCTAATTTTAGATGCCTACAGAAACAACATCCACCACAGAGCTAGTCAGGCTCCTTTTATAGTCAGTGGAGAAGAAACAGATGCTTCTAGGGGTTGATTAATTTGATTCTTCTGTAAAATGAGATGAATCATGTCCTAGATTCCTGACTACACTGACTAGATCTCCTCCAACTGCAGAGGCAGCTGAGAGGAGACGCAGACATCTGTAACATAGACCTCTACATGTAGTTACACGCTTCCCACTCTTCGAGCCCGATATTGCAGAATTAATAGTCTCAACCTCTGGATATGCTATTGATCGAATTACACAGCAGTTGCTTTTTCCCACTTTTGAAAACTACTTTTAACACAGTACTGAACAGAATATCTTTCTAGTAATTTTACCTTAAAGTCAAAATCAAAATGGATCCTGAAATTTAAATAGTTTATGAGAATTCTGTGTGGTTAATAAACCAGTTACTGTAATTTTGATTATGTAGACTCGATTTAAGTACAGTAACATAGCTACTTAAATTGTATAATTAAAATTAGTAAATTGATGACCCAAAAAACTTTTGCACTCACTTCTGTGAATGAGCTGTAAATAGAGCAAGAAAACAAATTCATTTCCTTTAAAACATTTTCAAGAAAAGCTGAAAAATAAATTTATAACATTAATAGAGCAGAAAAGCTGACAAAAATACGGTGGGTGGTTGAAAATGCATCAAATATCTAGGAAAAAAATCTATTTTTCCATTTCTGATGCTTTGACTCTACAATGAAAATCCATTTCAAATGGGAAGAACAGTGGAAAGTAATATATATTTTCTCCACAAGCCATAGTTTTAGAAAGGAAGAAGGATAATAGAATCAGCAGTTACTGAAAAAAAAAATTCATATAATGTATTTCTTTCATCTGTTAGAGGAAATCTACTGCCACCACTAAATGCCTGCCCACTCCTAGCAACAAGACATTCTCTGTTGCTGAAGTAGCAGACCAAAAAGGATTTCATCCAGGTATAAAACAGTGATCTTGGTGGAAGTCTAAAAATGTCTCTCAGAAGGAAAAAACCCAGAAACCTATTTTATCTTATAATGACAAACATACTGTAATGACACAAGTATGGAGATTAAGAATCCAAAAGTTCTCACCCCCCTTGTCAGAGAAGCTCTCTTCTTTTTCCCCTATGAAGTTCCTTCAAAGTCAGAAGGCAAATGGTGAGTCTTCAGCCCATTACAGCAATCGCTGCTTTTCAATAATGAAGCAAGTGAAATGCTATTTTCTTCAGAAGCTTTTACAACCCACAATTATTTTCATAAGACTGCCTGAGACCGGAGAGGATCGTGTAATCATCTGAGGAGATCCAGGGATGAAACTGAATCTACTCACCAACTTCTAGATACTGATCTAATACAGCAGACTGCCAGATGTGAACTGCTGTGGCAAATTCCCTGTGGTAGATAAAGTCTCGGGGACTGTGAAAGGCTTCTGTAAAACTAATCATGAGAAATTAAAAATCTTCACTACGTAGGATCACAACAGATCCCTGCTAGAAAAAAAGGCAGTATCAGCTACCTCAGCAACACTGTTCTTCTTTCTTGTTTCCAGATCCCTTGGAAGACTTTCAGTAGATCCCAAGATATATCTGTGCAGAGTGGTTAGAAGTTCTGGAGACTGGAAAAGAAGATGATTAACTGGGAAACGAAGGTTGGAAAACACGCATCACTTGTTCTGAAACATACAGAAACTGTCCCAGTTGTTGTTCTTGTAGGTCTTCTGTTAGGCCTAGTCTTGGTTCTTAAAGCTAATTTTACTCAAAGTAGTTTCTACTACGCAATTTTATTTCGTTTGCTTATAGTAAGTCTTTCTGAGCAAAGCAAACATTTATGAAAATGCATAAACATTTTCTGCGGAAATCCAGGCTTTTAAACCAACTTCAGTGAAATTATGCTTATATTGATGTATCAGAGCAGAAACAGCATGTCTTGCTTAGACTGAGATATAAAACTGCACTTTGCACTAGTTTTGCTAATTTAATTGCTTCACTTCTGTGCAGGGTCTCTTTAATTTTCTTCTTGATTTTTTCTTCCCAAATTATTCTAGAAGATGTCTTTGTGTAGATTCCATTCTAATGAACATTCCATTCGCATGTTTTAAAAAGAATTTTTTTTATTTGGAATCTGAAAACTAAACAGACGTAGTATCAGGCAAGATGCAGAAAGGATTCCTTTCTCAGTTTAGCTAATCCTTGTGAGCATGTTCCTCGGTACTTGACTTCTCTAATTCTAGAACTCCATTGGTCTGGAAAGAAGTAGTTTTTGGATGTGCACAACTGTAGCGTTGGACAAGATCACCGAAATTCTAGACATAGCCAGGAATTCAGCTAAGATTGTGTCAGCCTCCAGCCCAGAGTCTGTTATCAGATACAGATGATGCCCATCTCCAGAAATTTCAGAAGATTTACCATGTTGTTTGAAGCCTGCATGCTGATGATCTTCAGAAAAAAAACCACCTGGAATCTTTTTCTGGGAATTTCAATGGGTTCTCTCCCCATTGATTTTTACCAGATAAAGAACAATCCCAGAAATAACTTGATTTGGGGGCCAGATTGCCTGGTAATCAGCGCAAAGCCTCTTCTCAGCTAGTGTACCCTAGCTAAAATATTCTATGTGTACTCACATAAATGACAGTAAAAAAGTCTTTTTACATACGTGTACGAAAATATTTTTTTTAAATTGTTACAGACAAGTTATTGTATTAAGCAAACTGCAGAGGTATCTCCAAAGCAACCAGTCATGACAAGAAAAGGTGCAATATTAGGTATATACACAGCCATTATTTCAAGCAAAGCTGTGGGAACAGGAAAAGTTGGGGAAGACTCACAAAGACACACAGGTCTGTGAATGTTTAAAAGATTGAAGAAATGTAAATTTTTCCAAATTACTTACCTTGAAATAGCACCTTATTCCTAAAACAAGGAAATGACTGAAAAAGCAAGAGTAATATTAAAAGCAGATTTGACTGAACCAACACGGGATGTAAATTTACAACCTAAACTCACCATTCTTCTCAACAGCCTTTATTCTGCTGATAATATAACTGTGGGCTTGCTTAGTCGTCCAGTTAACTGTTCCATTATTGCCATCGGCAGAGCTTAACAAAAACGCTTTTCAGAATAAAACAAACGCAAAAAAAAAATTAGTCAGATCTTCAGACTCCCACAAATCAAGTATCAGATGGGATCAGATGCCTTTTAAACCAGGTTTTGGTTTTAGTTAGAGTTTAGGAACCTCCAATTAAAAAAAAAGTGGTGTTTGATTTGAATATATAAACATATAATAATCTTTCTGACAGTCATCTTTTTGACACTCATTTTTCCATGTAAGCTAAGTTTACACTAACCACTTAAACCTCTACAGACACTTTTGCTGACATAATTATACTGAAAACAAAAATTATGAAGAGCATTCTCTGATAAATATATTAGCACTGGCAAAACTTCATATATAGGCAAAGACATATCTAAAAT